GCTGTAAACGCTGGGTGTTTCAGGAGGAGGGGGCTGGGGTGCACGCAACGCAGGCCTGTTTCTCACCAATTGTAGAAGCTGCACGCGATCACAACTGGTGGACAGTAGGATGTCACTGCGATAAACACAACCTCCCTGAAACGCCCCAGCTACTGCAGAGAGCAAGTCTGTGTGCTCATACAGTGACTATGGGGAGCTGCGAGAATGAGAGCCTTACTGAAGAAGGGTTTTTCTGTTCTTCTCCTCAATAGTATTTCAAATGGTTCAGTATCACATTTTGTATCACTTATGGCATGGCCTACAAAGTGCAATCGCGATATGTGCCTTTACCTTACCTTTTCATCGCCTGACATTCACCAAATGGAAGCAGATGAAGTGGAGTGAGGGCGAGTCGCTTCTTCGATGCCGTGAACAGCACCACAAATTGCGCTCGCGTCTCCGGTTCACGATGGTAGAACATCTCGACTCGTTCGTACTTCAGTACATCATCAGCACTCGGCACTAATACCTGAAACGCCAGTCACTTGTGGCAGTGATGTCTTTAAGTATAACGCATTGATAATATAGGCTTAAAGACAGTATCCGCGCTCGAGAGGCCTTCAAAATGACTTCGCGCCTTCTGGAACCCTCTGCGCCTTGATGAAGATGATCCCGCTTTTATCCATCAATGGCGCGCGATGAGGAAGTTATCGCAATTTCGACAAGGCTCGCTAGGCTCACGGAGACGGTAGGTGGACGAGCGTCTGTCCCAAACTGCATCCGTCCCTTTAAAGCCCGCGCGTCCCTTAAGCCCGCGGTCCCACTGGCATTTTGCCAAAGTTGGCTCATAGCTCAGCTAAAGGTCTTACTTCGGTCAGGCTTGTAAACATGTGTGAAAGTGCGGACCATTAGAGTTTTTTTGCTATCGGAATTAAAGCGCTTGCTTTTCCAGTGTAGGGAAGATTGTTTTCAAGTGGGTCTATGTTGTCATTTCTTTTCTTTCTTTTTTGGTTTCATTTCTCAAGAAAACTCCAGCAACCTTCCCACTTTTCTCTGTAAGCAACTCTAATCATCCCATCGTTGGAAATTGCAGTACGTTGCGAAGCGGCGCTGTAGCGGCTACGCTAGCGCGACGTCTGTCAGCGCTACGCTGTAGCGCGACGCTGGCAGCCGCTTACAAGTATAAGCTGCCGTCATCGTTCGAAAGTATCCTATTTCGAAAGTTGGGACGCAATTGCGGCTGCCGCATCGAACTGGCAGCCACGCCCGGCACACTCGTCCAGGCCCCGCCTCCATCTGCTAAAAGGTAGCGTTTGGTTCACGGTAGTTCCCGATAGTTCTCTGCTCTTTTCTTATCTGATAGCTAACTATGGAATATGGTGCATGAGCTGAGAACAATTGCGCCCCAGTTTCTTGATCGTCAAAACCTAATTGTTTTAAATCAGAAAACCTGAAGGTACGGCCGCGATCAGTATAAAGTATTGAGTATAGTATTAGCTTGGGAAGGTAGAGTTGGAAAACGAACGACCTTCGTGCCGGCTTTCGGCAGGTCTGGTGGAGGTTGCAGAAAATGTAAGGGAGGGGCGCGTATAAGGCGCAATATACGTTCAGTGACGCCTCCTTCCTTAGTCGTGACTCCGCCTCCAGACTCCTCTCCTCAGGTCTCCTTTTAGTGGAAACGAAAGTGCTGCCCAGACGAAAAAACCATGAAAAGCGTCACCTCGTACGAGTCTGCATGTCTAATCGTGGAATATAGCGACGAATATGAGAGCCGTAGTGATCTGAAGACGCGATGTCACTATTTACCCACACTGAATACAGGACCGAAAATGGGGTTTTATCTAGCGATTGCGATGTTTTCTGCTTCTTGCCCGAAACCCGCCTGCTGACTACTCACTCTTGTCAACTATAGGAATCGCCTCAATCCAACTAGTGGTGGCGGAGTGATCGCGGCGATTGCTTTAAAACTTAGTCTGATAGTGAACTAATCCCAACTGGCGCAGTTCGGTGACAGGGGGCATTTCGACCTTTCGCTGCTTCATTAGTGCCACTTTTACAAGTCTCACCTGATGAGAGCTGTATCCTTAATAGCGGACACAAGCTTTCGTCGAGCCCATGGTGAAACCTATCAGCTCGTCTAAGCCTATGGAATGGCTGTTGGGTCGATTAGTCGATGGTAAGTAGCAAAAGTGCAAAGCATGCTTCTCCTCCGTGACAAATGGCCCTCCAATACTGCTAAAAAAGGGGTGGTGTAAGCGCAGAGTCACCTTACCGCCGCGCAACGTCCGCGAATCAAATCCAGGGATAAGCCCCACGCTAGGCAATACCAAGCCTTCCTGTCCTTCGGTAAAGGTAAACTGTCTATTTCATCGTGGGAGAGGATAAGGACATTACCTGTCTTGTTAACATCGTCTCCCGGCAGTCCCAATGTTACATGGGTTACAGTCACATCGCATCAGTAGCATTATTGTCTGAATAGAATGAATGCGATGCCGCATCCCGATAGAATTCGGATGATCAATGGTTGAGAGCTCAATATTTTATCCCGCTAAACAAGAGAACTGTATCATCAACCTGATGGAACCTTGGCGATACCAAACGTATATCACGAAACGGGGGACGGGCCCGCAGTTTTGGTAAGATGAACCTGGAAAGTTCTCGCCGGAAACATGAGTTGCTTCACGCATGTCCCATGTGCAGACAATCCAGAGCCTAAGAGGATTTCCCGGGTCTGTTGAACAGTGTTCGTACTCTAACATCGGTCTTAAGTTCATTTCATTCCCTTTCTAGAAGCTCAAACAACTCACGAAGTCTCCTACAGCTAACTGATCCATTCGCTTCTGTCCAGTGACTGTGGTGACGACGGCGTCCGCTGGGAAGCAGTTCATTCGTTTCAAACGGTCCATGGCGGCACCTGCAGATGGTGGGTCGGCAGCAGGAGCTGGAGCTGCTGCTGGAGCTGGAGCTGGAGCAGCTGCTGTAAATATTCAACGACGAGGTAGGTAGAAGAACCTCTATCATTCACATAAATACGGTGCAGAAAATAAATGGTAACATACTCACCAGGCTCCGGTTGTGCAGCTGCTTCACCATTATTGGCTGCAGCCGCATTGGTGTTTCCGCCAGCTCTAGCTCGGTTCAAAATCCGACTGGAACCTGTTTGGGCCTTAGGAGACTTGGTAGTAGTCGGAGCTGGTCTTTGAGAAGGTTTTGTTGTAGCCTTCGCAGTGGTAGTGGCAGGCTTGGGAGCGGCAGAGGTAGCCTTTGCAGCGGCAGACGCACTCGAAGCAGATGCTCCAGCGCTTCCAGCGGCTCCAGCGGCGGCAGCCTTCGGCGCAGCACCTTTTGTATCAGTTTTTCCTGCTAGCGGTCCAGAAGTGAGCAGTGTCTGTCCTGGTGGACCTGCTGCTCTACCTGTTGCTCCTGATCCTGCTGAAATTGTTCGAGCAGTTGTGGTGTCCACTTTAGGAGCCGAAGAGGCGACGAACTGATCGGTCGTAAGGACATCTGATACATCCATTCCATCATCATCGGTCCATTTCACTTCTTCAGACGTTGTACCCGAAGCGGAACCGTCTTTCGTTACTTTGGTTCCATCAGGGGTGGTCTTTTGTCCGTTAGCGCTGTCAGGGGTTGTACTTCCACTTGATCTTAAGAAATAATTCAATTGTTATAAATACTTCTGAAAAATACTGTTAAGGTTGAGATGCTGAAGTTGAAGAAACTGACTTATCAATAGTTCTCTTAGTTGTTCCGCCACCACCGGCAGCAGTAGGATCTTCCGTAACTTCTTGCCGACTTTGAATTTTTCCACGACTAAAAATGAATCAATTAGGCTGCAGTTTGTACTGTTCACAGCACGAACTTCTGTTACGTAGTAGGTTGAGAGTCTCTTCACGAAAGCAATTAGATTACAATGGCTTACCCGTTCTCTCCGTCCTGTCCATCGATTCCACCATCACTTCATTCTTGATTGGACCGTTGTTTATACAATTTCAGCACCATTTCCTGCGCCTGACGCTATCAAATTTCCATTGTGACATGGAGTGCGATAGCTCCGTAATGTTCAACGTCAAAGACCACTCCTTCAGCACCAGACTTTTCGATCCTCTCCAGTCTAGTCCCATTTATCAGTTGACCGTTTCTTCACGTTTTCGCAGCGCCGTGCTCCATCCTTACTCCACCGCTTCCACCCTTTCCGCCATCTCCGCCACTTCCGTCACCAGGTCCACGTCCAGTTTTTCCATCTTTCTCACTTCCGTCACCAGGTGCTCCGTCCTTTCCAGCAGTCGTGGCTCCTTTAGCACCACCACCAGCTCCACCTCTACCATCTTCTCCGTCTTTTCCATCACCACCTGCTCCTCCATCCGCGCCGCCCAATCCTCCCGCTTTTCCGCCAGATCCACCTGCTCCACCTCGACCATCTTTTCCATCATCGGTACCATTTCCTCGCATCTTATCGGCACCGTCTCCTCCAGATCCAGCTCGTCCTCCGTTCACACCTGCACCCTTTCCACCGGCGCCTCCATCACCTCCATCTCCTGAGCCGTTGCCAGTCTTTCCGTCTCCTCCTGATTTGCCATTTTTTCCATCTCCTGCTCCGAGACCGCCTCCACTTCCAGAGTCGCCGTCATCTCCGTCCTTGGAGCCGTCACCACCTAAAAATCATTAATACATAGATCTCAGTAAGATTCAGTATCCGCAACCGTTTAAAAATTACCTTTTCCATTTCCTTTGTTGGCATCCTTTCCAAGGCCAGAACCGCGTTCACCTGCTCCTTCACCGCCCTGTTTTCCACCGAGGCCTCCAGTTCCAGCTCCACTGTCACCGCTGTCAACACCAGCACTCGGACCTGCTCCACCTAGACCGTCAGTACCGTTTCCACCTCCACCTTTTCCACCGTCTCCTCCTTTTGCAGCTTTGCCAGCTCCTCCGTCGCCATCACCTCCTGTTTCACCATTTCCGGTACTGTCTCCCTTTCCTCCTCGTCTACCATCACCATCGTCTCCTTTTCCTGCCTCTTTTTTCTTACCGAGGCCCTTTCCTAGGTCTCCTGCTCCTGCATCAGTATGTCCATCGTCCTTCAAAAAGAATTGTGCAGCTTTTCATCAATAGCAACTCAAAAACTTACTTACCCCCTCCTCAGCTCTAGAATCGCCACCATTTCCTTTCCCCTTCCCGCCTCCTGCTCCATGCTTTCCTCCTTTTCCATCCTTTCCTCGTTTGCCGTCGCCTCCTCCACTCTCTCCGCTACCATTTCCGTCATCTCCATCAGCATCACCTGGTTTTCTCTGACGATTTTGTTTCTTGGTACCTTCTGAGCTAGAATCCTCTCCTTCGCCGTCTGCAAATTCAACGTGTGAAGAAGATTTATGGTAATCCTTCAACTCTGTGTACAGCTTACCTCCTTTCCCTTGCCTCCCACTGCCATCTTTTCCACTTCCGCCGCCATTTTCACCGCCACCTCCTGAACCAATATTGGCGCCTTCGAGGTTACGGGATCCTTCTTGCTAAAACGATTACGTTGTATAAGTTGTTACTGAGAGGCATACACAATCACTTATATGAAAAAGCTCGAATGAAGTTTGGAAGCAAGCAAACGAAATACTTCTAGTGCTGTCCGAGAGTTAGTGTTAGTGAGTTCAAATCCCAATCCCAACGTCCTGACTGATGGCGACGATATTAACTCTACGGATCCCTATAGCGTCTACTACAGGGGGCCAAAAAAAAGTCATTTTGCCTCCATGACTTTCAAGGCGCTATAAGTTACACTTTATTAAATTTTTATCGGACATTTTTACTACCATATTAAAGAGCACATTAAATACTATAATGATACTCCGCCACAGCCTTCTGGAGGAGCGCCATCGAGAGATTCGGCCGCGCGAAAGTGAGTGGGTACCGGAGTTGAGCGAGATCGTTGATTTCTCCGCCACCGTAGACCACCCTATTGAACTCCGCCCGAACCGGGTAATTGAGGGGATTCAGGTCAGGTGACCTACTTGGATATTCTACCTTCTTTAGGTATTCAGCCCCCTTCCATTCCAAGTAGGCGGGAGTTTTTCCAAAACCCTTTGATTCCATGTGGTGGCACCCAAACCTGTAGCAGCACAAGGTCTCCAAGAAGGTACGGGCGACCACATGTAGGGAGGATATTCTTCTCGAGTTACTTGATGTAACCGCCAGCGCTCACCTTCAGTCGGGGTCTACAAAGAAAATATCGGTCTTCCCCTTTCCAGGTACCCCGGTCCATACCATCAACTCGCGCCTCGGCGAATACGGTGAAGATGATGTCCTAGACCGTAGCGACGTTGCCGTAGCTGGTCGATGTGGGAGGTCTTGCAGTCAAGAGTACTGACCTCCAGGTAGCTATCTGTGGATGACTTCATTCAAGAAGTTTCGCAGCTGTTTGGAGGCGACGTGAATTCCAAAGGTGTTCTCCAGTCAGGCCGCGACTGGAGATGACTTCATATTTTGGCGTACATGAAGGCGATTGGCGGCAGCGTGCTCCAGCTTATAGAGGAAGATCTTGGGTATCTTCCACCCTGGTACTCATATCCACTTCCCCTGTCTGGGCTGCGAAAACTTCGTTGATATGTGGCTCGGCCGAAATGACTTTTTTTTTGGCCCCCCCTGTATGTCGCACCTCGCTTGGCCCTAGATTTGGTCTAAGCACTACGATGCAATCCGATCGAGCACGCTTGACTGTCACACTAGTGATGAGGAGGTTGATTCGTCCATTTTGTTGAGCTTGAAGGCAGTTGGCCGATAAATCCCCCAAGACGACTAGGATCAATACTCCTGGCAGGATAGAATTCCGCGACCCTGGGCAGGCGCTGCATAGCGGTTTCCCCGAGGAAGGTGCCCTTATAAGGGCCCTATCAAGCCACAACTTTACGTCCCAAACGCCCGCCCGCCCACAAATGGACGACCGTTCCTGACGCTCGTATTCATTCATTTGCTAAGCAAATTATGAAGCGAAGGGATTGGTATGAAAGGCCGTGCTGCATGCATACATGGGTACACATATGCAGCCGTATCTTCGGTAGCGGTGATTGGCAAGATGCCTACGGGAAACTCGTCCGAAATCGATTTACAAGTCACTGAGAACGGAGGCTTTTTCTTCGCAGGATTTTGACCGTTTCACTCCGTTCTTTCGCCATTTCCCCACTATACAGCGCCCTACTAGCATTTTAGGCCGAGCCAAATCATCGTGCCAACTGCCTTTAACGAGAGGCACAGTCACATTGATAGCGGAATCACTTGGGATCACTGAACTTTCCTCATTGATGCACCCTAGCGCTTGGTACCCAATGCCGCAAGCGTCAAGCACCCATGGGGGTCGCACCTGAAAGTGGTATTTAACACACACCCTGCCCTCCTTTTTGCCGTGGAGCCTGCCCATGAGAAGGGAACGTATTTAAAGGCATACAAGCTTTATTGATGTGCAGATGTTTCCTTTGGACCGCTAGCATTGAAGAAAAATATCTTGAGACGCTCAAAAATACGTGCGGAAAGCATGACCCGCTCGCGACGAGACCGCCACCTGGCCCATGGCCGCGGCAACACCCACCCATATTTAATGGCTTCGTGATGGTTACCGTTGTTCCGCTTCTAACTCTCTCCATTTCGAATGGTGGGACTGGGTTATAAGGAGGAGAAAGAGCTAGCACCCAAGAATGCGAACTCGTCCCACAACGCCCTCTTTTCGCCTTATGCACCTGCAAGCGCCGTTCATTAAAGGCACATTCCGCGATAAAATAAGGCTATGACCTCTCAAATGTGTCGGACGATCCGGAAGGCGATTTTTGAGGCTGCGCTACTTTCAAAATGTGAAAAACGGCAAGAACTCCGCTAGAAGCTGACTAATTAGGCCCATGGACACCCCTTAGGCCCATGCCGACCCTCACCGGCTGCTAGCTACTAGCTAGTAGCCACTATGTTATCTTTCTCTATAACATTTCGGACTGCTTTTCTGCTGCTTTTCTCCGCTAATCAGATACTTAGCACTTTTTTGTGCCTATTTGAGTTCCGTTTCCCGCAATTTGCGGTCGCGAACTGTGCCTTTAACTAAATGGGCATTTCAACGCGAACGCGGGGTTTGCCTTTTAAATTTTTAAGCGATCAATGTTTCAGTTTCGCGAACTCAAGGAAGGGTTGGAGGCGAGCGGTTGCTGTCAATGTCAATGGTGGAAGGGTTGCTTGAGGGCATCTGGCCACACCCTACTCCTCCCTTCCACCAGTGACGTTGGCAGCACCCGCCCACCCCCAGCCACCGTGCACGCTGCCTTTAAGGGCACATTATCAGTGTTATGGGTCGTATGGATATCGCTGCCGTATCAGCCACATTACGGCATATTGGCGAATCCATAGGGACCATTGCGCTTTCCTTACTGGTCTATCTATCCTGGTGTATTTTACGGGGGGGGGGGCTGCCCAGAGAAAGTCGCAGTGATCCAAGTAACCCGTCCCCTACGATCAGCATGTAAGGTTTATGAGCGAGGAGAGGGAGTCCTGTGGTGCAAAAATATAGCAGGGCCAAGAAGGTTGGCAGCACGCAACAAAAAATCCAGAACCTTATTGTAAGGCACCCGGGAGCTCAGAATGCGAGAATGTTCCGAAGAAACAACGCCGAAAATCATTCTTACTTTAATTATTGAATTCATGACCACTGCCTCCGGATTGTCCCGTGTGGACGGTGATGTTGATGTGACCAGGCTGAGCAGGATTCCCCGCTTCAATGACATTATTGTTGTTTCCGCTAGCGTTGACGTGTACGTGGATGTGTTGGGGACCTGCCACACCTCCTGAAAAACCAGGCGAATTACAAGCGAACATTGCAGAGACATTTGAAGGGGTAACCTGGACTGGATGTGGAGCCTTCCTTGTGGATTTCTTCAATTCGTTGGCGGTTCTGACCACCGCCCACATTTCCCCATACACTCCTCGCCCATGTTGACCATCTTGAAAAAAGAGAATTATAGAGTAGAGAACACGATTATGGGACGGCACTTACGAAGAACTTGTCCAGCTGCTCCAGCTGATAGCTTTCCATTCACTGGGCTGCTCCTAGAAATTCTTGAGATTACGGGCAAGCTTTGATCGCACGCTTTCAGTCCATATATTGTTAACAACTATTTTGTTAGATACTACTAACGCCTACTTTCCGAGAATAATTTCAGACTTTCAGCAAAGTTCCACCCCCTGAGCTAGAAGTGACAAGACCTCTGTACCCAGGAGTAGTTCGCCTCCGAAAACACGAACATCACGCCAAAAGAACCCTAGTGCTCCCGAAACAGAGGTGTCGGCCCGCAACAGCCCTCGAATATCGCGTTTTGCTATAAAAGTTCACGGAATGACTTAGCCCTCCAACTACACAAAATCTAACATTTTCCGCCTTTAAACAGGTCTAATTGCCCTACAACGCAGAATATCCTGCCAGCATGTTGCCCATGGGTGTTATACTCGAACGAGGTAAAATGACCTTTCGAAACACCTTTAGCCAAGCCTACCTCAGCCAAATTGAGAAATCGGACTCAATTTTTGAAAAAGTGGAGATGACTTGTTTGATAGACCTAGTTCCTATTTGAAGGATTTTTTTCACTTAAAGTTAATATCCTGCATTACTCCTTCTGCCCACGGCCTTCATAAGAATATCATCGGGTCGACAAATCGTAACACGATAACCATCTCTGCAATAATCGGGTATTTGTAGCGGCAACGACCGTCATCCTCGCCTTGATTTCCAAATGGTATTGATTTTGAGAGCGATTACGCTGGTACATTACCAGGTTTCAACAAGAAATCAAGGATATTTCAACAAGAAGACAACTTGCGCAGTGTGTACTGTATATATGCAAACTTCAGTTGGAGAGGGCCAACAACGCGCTTTCGGATTGGTGGGGGCATTTTTCCGTCACCGTTGTCGACTTCCCACTACAGAGTCCGTGATTCTTATAATCCTTGCGATAGACATCTAATTTCCTTTACACTTCACAATAATCTACTGGTTGCAAGTGTGACGCTTAATTTTCATAGGTACCAGCAGAAGAATACTTGCAAAATGTCTCCCCCTCTCCAAGCCGCAGGAATCAATGCAGTTCAAACAGCTCAGATTAAAGACACTCCCCGCGATCAAGTGGTCCTCAAAATGACTTCGTGCTTTTTGGAACCCTCTACGCCTTTGATATACATGTTCTATCCCTCAATATGGTGCGCGAATGTATATTTTTCTAAATAAAAATGCGAAGTTATAACGATTTCACAAGGCTCCTAGGCTCGACGCACAGTAGGGGGACGAGGTCCCGCTGAGCTGCTCCGTCCTTGATAGTATCCATTTCGAAAGTGGACGCAATACGGCTTCCGCAATCGATTTCTGGCAAGCCCACGTCCGGCACATTCGTCCTAGGCCGCTCACTGTCTAAAGGGAGGGCGGCCGGCGGCCCCGCGGCTCCGCCGGGGCGCGGGCGCCGCTCCCTCTGTGTTCATGGGTTGTTCGCGAGTTTTTTTT